TGAACCGTATGGCCGCGGGTACCACTGGCAACTTAGAAACGGCACATTCGCCACGTATGTACTGGGACTAGTCCGAGCAGACCTGAAGCAGCGGTATGGCCTGTCTCCGGACTGGGATTAGGGTTTCGGGTCCCCAAGAACCTACTTTTTCAGGAAATACAAATAGAAACCAGAATAAAGAGCACCAAAAACGCTAGGGTTTTTTTGGCCTACAGTTAGGGTTTGGGAATCAGTGGACTTCATATGGTAGAAAGGAGATTTAGACAGGGTTCCTGTGTACGTGTTCCAAAAACAGGACTTTATGCTTAAGCCGTTGGGTGTAGGGAATCAGTGGACATGATATGAGGGCCATTAATAGCAATAAGGAAAGGGTTCCCCCAAGGGTTGAAGAAGAGATTGTTGACTTCGTAGGGTTGGGTTTAGGGTCTAGGGTTTAGGGTTTGGATTGTTGCTGAGGGGTATGTTATACTTCGTCCTGTGCGACCCCTAATATAGGGGCCTAAATAATTACCAGTACTATTTTGGTGGTTCCTTTTTATATGTTACCTATAACACAGTACTATATCCCCAAAACCCTATTCTAACTATTAAGGCCCCTACATTACCTGCAATCAGTACTATACAAACTCAACCACCAAAACAGAAGCTAGGTCTAGTTATTCTGAGGGGCTGAGTAGGTAGGATTGAACCCTTTGGGGTTTAATATCATCCTACTATCATAATTGAGAAGGTTAACCTTCTTTCGGCTAGGATATTCAGCCCCGAAGTATTTGGAGTTCGGCCCCTGGTGCTCGAAATCCGTGAAGGGAGATTCCCGGCGAGAGGTTTGAAGCCACACCTCAAAGCCTAAACCCGAAACCCCAAACCCCGCCCTAACCCTGCACGCCGGCCTAGACCTTGTCCGCCCTAGAAGCTTCACGAACCCTAAACCCTAAACCCTAAGCTCTAAACCCTAAACCCTAAACCCTAAACCCTAAACCCTAAACCCTAAACCCTAAACCCTAAACCCTAAACCCTAAACCCTAACCCTTCTTGCCCCTTATAGCACCCTCACGAAGACCTCCCAGAACCCGCGTCCCCCAGACCTTCGGCAGGTGGAAGATGCGAGTTCCGAGGACAGCGGCGCGGATCCTGTGCAGCTTGCAGGGGCCGTAACATGGGGCCTAAGTGAGGGTTTAGGGTTTAGGGTTTAGGGTTTAGGGTTTAGGGTTTAGGGTTTAGAGTTTAGGGTTTAGGGTTTAAATGATTACCAATCCTGTTTTGGGGATTCCTACTAATTACGAAGGCCCCTTTAGTAACTTCTAAGCCTCAAGCCCTAGCCAGACCCGATGTGGCGGAGGACCATCTCGTTCTTAGTCGAGAGATTCGCGATGCCGACGCAGTTTGGCGTGGGAATCTTATGCAGATGAGGCACTCGGAAGATTTCCAGACGCAGGACTGAGATTGTTCAGATTCATCAATGTTGCTATCATGTCCAACAAAATTGTCATGCTAGTTGCGACATCTGCTGCTGATACTGCCGCCACGAGCGTGAGGGGGAGGAGGAAGAAGAGGCCAGTGACACTGACCAAGCTGACGACGACGGAGACGAGCATGCTGACGACGACCATGAACGATACTGCTGCTGCTGCTGCCGATGTGTTTTCAATCATCGTGATGATTCGAAGCTCCTTTTTCCAGGCTGTGAGTTCGGGGCTTAGTCCTAGGAACTTTGGGTTTAGGGTTTCGGAACGTAGGGTTTCGGGTTTCGGAACGTAGGGTTTAAGGTTTAGGAACTTTGGGTTTAGGCTGAGGGACTGGCTTCCTCCTTTTGTTGGTGGCTTCCCGAAGGTTTGCACATTGACCTTTGCAGATTTTAAAAAGACGTGATGCCAGCCCTCACACCCCTCCAGTCCCTGCGTGTGACACCCCTGCAAGTGTCGTTCACGCCGCAGTTTTTCATGAACGAAGTCGTCATACACGCCGCGTAGGAATAGTAGTCACAAGGTGATCGGAGAGTAACAGAGTAACAGCGACGCATAGGGGTGGCCCTCTGAAAGTAGGTTCCCTTTATAAGGGTGCCGTTGTATTTGGGAACTTAAACACCCTAAACCCTAAACCCTAAACCCTAAACCCTAAACCCTAATTTAGAGAACTACCCACATGACACCAAACAGCTCCCTACAGAGGAGCTTTACCACTTCACCGATGCCCACCTCCGCACTCTCGGAGTCAGCGTTCCAGAAGTGGAAGAGTTTCTAAGCCGCAACTGCACCGCAGCCCTCTGGGTGAGCCGTCGTGATTCAGGGATCTTCCACCCTACACCCTAAACCCTAAAACCCTAAGGCCCTAAATCCTAAAACCCTAAACCTTGAACCCTAAAGCCCTAAAGCCCTATGAACTCTAAAACCCTAAACCCTCAACCCTAAATCTTGGACTTGAAGCCAGAAGTTACAAAGACCTGCAAACTCCAAAGCCAGATCTCCGGAAGCCTACGCTCTACACGGGTTTTATGGCTTAAGGCTTTAGGGTTGAGGGTTTAAGGGTT